CCCTCATCATTCTCAAAACATTTGCTCTCCATTTAAGCCCCTGGCATCAGCTCTTCATTTTCCCCTTCCTCCCCGCTCCCCACTCCCCCGTGAACCCTTGATAATTTATAAAATTATTATTTTGTCATATACTGTCCGACGTCTCCCTTCACCCACTTTTCTTTTGTCCGTGGGGGATGGGTTTTAATGAGGATTCTTCTGGAAATTAAATATCATCTCGGATTATTGGCATTTTAAATGCTAGCAGAAAGAACTACACAGGCTTTCGTTTTAAAAAGCACATCGAAGATTAAGTCTGAGCTGGGGATGAGGATCTAGTAAGGAGAGTGGTGTATTTTCTCCCCCTGCTGGCATTAAATGAAAATAACAAGCCTAGTTTCTTTGCTGTGAAAGTCCAATTTGTACAACCCATAGTTACAAACCAGCTCCTGTAAAGCTTATTACATGAGAAATCCAAGGTAGACACAATGGGTCATAGATAAAAATTGATGCTACTTTATGACATGTAAAACCATATGATGTTAAAGATGTTTTAGTGCTTCATGAGTGCTTCTTTAGTTTTTATGCACCGAAAGGATAGGGTACACTATATGCTGTACAGTAAGACAAATATTTGATTAACTGACATTAGATAGGAATCATACCTAATTGTTCCAGTTTATGTACACATTTGACTTAAAGACTGATTTAAGAACAGAATTTGTTTGTAATCCAGGGACTGCCTATAAATGTATTATTAAAAGTAAATGATACAATACAAATGGACAATGTTCCTCAGTCTTTAATAGCGGAACTCCTTCCAAAACGCTCATGAATTGCTCTAGAAGTTGGAGAATTACTTTGCCACTTTGCAGGGAACATGATAAAAACAACAGATTTTAATATCTGCATATTATAAAATGATGAGATTTATATTAATAAGAGGACTACAATCTTATTAAAGCATCTTTAACTTACCGTATATACTCGAGTATAAGCCAACCCACCTACCAGTGGAGGCACCTAATTTTACCACAAAAACTGCATACAAAATGTGCTGAAAAATTCAGCTTATACTCAAGTACACACGGTAACTATGAACTCTATTTTAAGTCGACAGTCAAAGGACAGGCTTGAAACCAGATACCAGGCCAGTTGCTGCCGAGTCACTGCTGACACGGGACAGACACCAGGCTTGCAGACTAGATCTGATGCCATCAGGTCTCAAGGCCGTGACCTTTGGAAAGAGACCACTAGGCTTTCTTCTGGGGTTCTCGGGAGTGGGTTTGATCACCAACCTGGCGGTTAGTGGTCAAGCTCTTAGCTGTTTGCACCACCCAGTGACTGCAAGTTGGCAACAAGTACATTTAAAAACATTTATCTTTTCTTCGGGACCAACTTGACAAATATTGGTAGAATTTATGACACATCACTTAAGTAGATACATTTGCTCTCCTCTTGTGCTAATGTTCTTTGATTTTGTGATTTAAAAATCAACTGGGCTATGTTTGTAAATTTAATTTTGTATGTAATTTCAAACATACAAAAAGTACAGACTGACAAAAGTACATGTAACACCGTGTACTTGCCACCAGATTTAAATTGGGTATTTCCCCAAATTCTGCTTTACTTCTTTCCTCTATATGTAAGGTACATCTTTTAGAATTTTCTCAAGGGAGAGTTTACTGGTGGTTAACTCTCAATCATTTTTGTCTAAAATATCTTAATTTTACTATTAGATCTAAAGCATAATTTCATCAAATGTACTTGACAGATTATTTCCTTGAGTATAAGAGCGAGTACAATGTCATGTGCACTTGTTGTTGTTGTTAAGGGATACCGAGTCGATTCTGACCCATAATGACCCTGTGCACACAAAGTGAACCACTGCATGGTCTTGTACCATCCTCACAATTGTTCCTGTGCGTAAGCCACTATGGCAGCCGCGGTGCCAATGCATCTTGTTCAGGGCTTTTCTCTCTTTCACTGTCCCTCTGTTTTACCAAGCATGGTGTCCTTCTCTAGGGACTGCTCTCTCCGGACAACCTGTCCAGAGTATGTGAGATGAAGTCTCACCATCTTTGCCTCAATGAGCAGTCTGGCCAGACTTTTTGGTTTTCTGATCGTAGTTTTTTCAGGTTTCATTATAATATTTTACTTTGTCTTTTCAAGCTTCCCTTTGAAAAGTTCCTTCAGCTCGGACTTCATCATTTCTTCCATTTGCCTCAGCTACTCTAACGTTTAGAGCAAGTTTTAGAGTTTCTTTTGACATCCACTTTGATCTTCTCATTTCTTGCTTGTCCTTTTATTGACCCTTTGCTTTCTTCATGAATGATGCTCTTGATGGCCTCCCACAGCTTATCAGGTCTTTTGTCATTAGTGTTCAATGCAGCAAACCTGTTCTTGAAATTGAGGTGGTGGGATAGACTTAAGGTTGTATTTTGGCTCTCGTGAACTTGTTTTAATTTTCTTCAGTTCAACCTGAACCCACACATGAGCAATTGGTGGTCTCCTCCACAGTCATCTCTGCCCTGGGGTCAGTACTCCAGGCCAGTCACCTCTGGTCTGGTGTTGAGCTTCTCCGTCATCTCTTCTCACAGATGTTATCAATTTAGTTTCTGTGTGTTCCATCTGGAGAAGTACATGTGTATAGTTGCCTTTTGTGTTGTTGAAAAAGGTAGTTGCTATGTAGAAGGTCTTGATCTGCAAAATGTAATGTCCAGTTCTGCTTCCATCACCAGGACTGTACTTTCCAACGACTGTTTCATCTTCTTTGTTTCCAACTTTGCATATTCTAGTCATCAATGATTATCGATGCATCTTGATTGCATGTCCGATTAATTTCAGACTGACGACATTGGTAGAAGTCCTCACTTTCTTCATCACTATTTTTTTGATTGGTGCATAAATTTGAATAATAGTCGTATTGCTTGGATTTCCATGAAAGGGGGTAGATAAAATCCTACTAAGATAGCATTGTACCTCAAGATAGACCTTGACATTTTCTTGTTGACAATGAGTGAAGTACCATTCCTCTTGATTGTGTCATTCCTGGCACCGTCCACCAGCAGTTTTCTGATTAACAATGGCCAGTACCATCCATCTCAGCTCACCAACACCCAGCCCATCAATTTTTATGCATTCGATTTCATTTTTGATGACTTCCAGTTTTCCTAGAGTCTTATGTCATACATTCCAATTTCGGGTTATTACCCTGCTTCCCCGAAAATAAGACAGTGTCTTATATTAATTTTTGCTCCCAAAGATGTGCTAGGTCTTATTTTCAGGGGATGTCTTATGTTTCCATGAAGAAGAATACGGTACACATTTATTGTTTATTGTTTTATTAAGAGACCTCACACTTCCTGTTTGCTCCAGCTACGCTGTGGCCAACAGTGAGCTGCGTGGCCACGCCCACCACTATGGCCCAGAGTTACAGTAGCTTTGGGGGGCCTTATTTTTGGGGAGGTCTTATTTTCGGAGGGATGCCTTATATTTCAGCGAGAGGCAAAACTGTAAGTAGGTCTTATTTTCGGGGAAACAGGGTAGTAGATGTTTGCAGCTGTATCTTCTCCGTTTGAGTTCTGCCCTATCAGTAAATGAAGATCTTGAAGGCTTTCCTCCCACAGACTTTACTCCATTCACATCACCATGGTCGACTCTACTTTGAGAAAGCAGCTCCTCCCCAGTCACTTTCTGAGTACCTTCCCACCTGCGGGGCCCATCCTCTGGCACTATAACTGACACTGTTCGGCTTCCACGTAGTAGGCCTTCAGTATCTGACCATGTTTCCTTGCACATGGTTTTCAGTGGCTACTTCCCCTGAAGTGGGCAGCCGATTACTTCTTTGTAGTCTGCTCTTAGTCTGGAAGCTCTACTGAAACCTGTTCACTTTGCGTGGCCCTGCTGACATTTAAAATACCAGTGACATAGCTTCCACCATCACCACAACACACAAACTACCACAGTAAGACAAACGGTGCACCCTTCGACAACTTAAAAATATGCTGCCAGTTAAACTCTGTACAACACGACGTGGCATCAGTTTTAAGAAACGCTCCAATTTCTGAGATAGGTGAAGGTAGGAAAACATACAATTTAGAAATCAACAACATCGACCTTTTGTGTTCATCAGAGATGTCCTTGAGACATTTTCCGGCTTTTGTGTCACTGTGGCGAGTCAGCTAGCAGTCTTCTTGTTGAGTGCTGTTGTTTTCATGGTTCATCTTTTAAAAGTCTTTCTTTGGTATTCTATAATTTAATTGAGTATATAGATAAGGGATTCTTTTTGCTTTATCTTTCTTTAGATTTGCTAGGATGCTTGGGTTGGTATCACTAAAATATTTTGGAGAATTTCACATTGTTCAGATCTGTCTTGTCCCCAATCTTTTGCCTATTTGGGCTCCAAATGGACTTTCTCACCT